CCTTCATAATTGATCAACTACTTTTCACCTATATGTTTACCTGGACTATTAGAAATATGCTAAAATTATAGGTATAAACCACTATAGTAAGTTACTAGCCTTGTTCCAAACAATACAATTGTGGCCCAAAACATAATGACTAACCTATATAATAGCACATCAAACTCCCCTAGGATTCCTATCCTATAAGACATAAAAAACTGTCTTCAGTTTTCTGCAGTGTTGTAATGTATATGCAGTTGCTGGCCTCTATTCTTCCTATAGACCTTAAACTTGCTCCTGGGTGGTAAGTCTGGCCCCCAGAGAGGCACATTAACTCTTTTAAGCCAGTAGAAAACGCAATTTTTTTTTACTTTTTTTAGTTTTTGAGTTTTTTGAGCCATTCAAAACTCAATTTTTTGTGTTCTTATGAGGAACACTGATTAGATGTATCAGTAATCACATTGTATACAAATGCTATCTTTTAGATAATTCCTAATGTAGTACCATCAATATCCTGTTCTTTAGAACATTTTTTTCTTTCTTTTCTAATTTTCACAATCCCTTTGACCCTTGCTGGTACTAATTGATTAAGCTTTCTGGTAGAGTAGAGTCACTGATTGGGGGTCTATACTTATTTTGGAAAACTCTATTTGGCTTCAGTCTTTATATCCCCCATGGCCTGTTTCTGAAATGGCATGTGTTTTTTCTGAGCTGCATTATTTTCTGAATCCAAATGGGAACCACCTTTTGGATGTACCTAGCATTATATAGGTAAATTAATTCAAGTTTATTCCAAAAGTTAAAGCAAACTCCTTCAGCGAAAGTACTTCTTCCTACATTGCAATGACTTAGTTTGCAGAACAACTTTTAAATAACAAACTCATCTGAATAGAATTAAATATATTTAATTAAAATACAACTTTAAGGGGAACTGTGAAGATTTTTTTTTAATGTTTATTTATTTATTTATTTATTGAAGGAGAGAGAGAAGGAGAGAGAGAGAGAGAGAGAGAGAGAGAGAGAGAGAATCCCAACCAGGTTCTACACTATCAGCACTGAGCCTGCCTCGGGGCTCGTTCTCACGAACTGTGAGATCATGACCTGAACTGAAGTCAAGAGTCAGACATAAGCCAACTGAGCCACCCAGGCACCCCTGAGATAGTTTTAATATGGCGCATAATGATATCCTTGATGCCACGTCATATGACTTTGACCAAGTTAAATGACTACTACTCCTTAAAGTAATACTACCTATCTCATTGAGTTTTTATAGGAACTCAGTGAATTGATATATTTAAAGTACATATACTAGTACCCAGCACATAGTAACTTATAGTGTTTGTTAAATACATACAAAGACAGTGAAACCTGAATACAGAGAAAATGACTTTCTTAAAATAGGTCAAGGATAAAACTGGTATTTTACAATCTGCTTTCTCTCATTTCTTTCTTGATGAATTAACTTTCTTCCTGCATGTAAAATAGTTTCTAATTTGAACAACCTGTTTCATTTTCAAGATTCACCGATTCTCAGTCCAGCTAATTCTGCAATCAATTTAAGTGGAGCTCAGGACCTGACCCGGAATAAGAATGTTGTGAAGCCACTGGCTTTATCTTTGCAGGTTGTAGGGAAGACTTTTGCTGCAGGTGATGTTTTCCTCATTTATATTTCTTTGGTAAATACATAGTCTATAAAAGACTTATGTGAAATCCAGTTGACAATTCGCTACAAGAAAACAGAAGCTCTTTTCCTTCCAGCTGAAGACAGAAGTGGGGCTGTCTCTAATATTGTATTATTATACAAAGCTTTGTGTTCTCTGTGCTCCAACCAGAAGAGTCAAGGAATGACATTTGGCACATGGGAAGACAGAGCAGGTTGGTTTTGTTCAGCAAACATTTCTTGGGCACCTGCTATTTTGAGGAACTGAGGATACAAATATAAATAATGCTCAATCCCTGACCTCTAATGAACTAATAACCTAGTTGGGGGGATAGACCTATAGGAAGTTATTATCAGTGTACTACAGTAAATACAGCAATATGCTGGGGGAGCACAAAGGAAGGAGAGTTTTAGCCCAACATTTTAGGGAGTAATGAAGAATGAGTTCTTGGAGGAGCTTGGTCTTGAACTATGAGGAGATATTCACTGCACAAAGGAGTAGGGGAAAGATACTCCAAATTCAGGGAAAATCCAAGATCAAAGCTTGAAAGGAAAAGGAAAGAAAAGAAGCAGCATGATGTGTGCAGGAACTTCCACTGGTTTGGACTTGTTAGAACCATAAAACGTAAAACTCAGGGAGTGGCAGGAGGGGAGCAAGTAGTGGGCAAGGAAAGGGTCACAAGAGGCCAAGCTGAGAAGAATGGATTTTACTCTGTAACTTATGGAACACAGGAGTTAATCTGGTCTGATTTGAACTTGAGTTAGATCACTTGGGCAGAAA